TTACCTCATATTTTATCATTTTTTTGCAGTGTGACCCTGATTTGAAGTCACCATTCTCAATATCTATGTGGATAAGGGTCTTTATCTGCTCTGGTGGTAAAGCCTCCAGTTCCTGTAAATTCCAGGGCTCTCTTGCATGAACTGCATATATCCACAGATCTGCTCAATAACGGTGTAATTTGAAAATAGATAACATGGACAACAAATGGCTTCACACAACCACTAATGATGAGTGGAAAAAAATATGTTTGAGTTTTCATTCATAATCTCTCTAAACAATGAAATCCGAGCACAACTACGAACATATTCACACATTGTGGTTTCAACATCAGATTTGATTTCCTGGAGCTATCAAAAGGTAAACATGCCAAACATAAACATAAACTTCCTTTACAGCTGCAGTCGTAACCATGTTATAGGAACATCACTAAATCAATCAAAGCCTGAATGATGCCAGGACTTTACTCATAAACACAAACCGCACGTCACCACATTCCGCAGTCTTTTGTTCCCCGCCAGTTTCTATACGTTACGTGTTTTCTCACATAGTTGAAGTTGCACTAAGAACTCCATGGATGCGTTTCTCACAGTGCAGGTGTAAAGTCCAAAGTCGTCTTGGTTTTCCAGTGTGGTTTCCAGCTGACTGCTCACCATGAGTCGGCCTTCACCCACAGCCCTGAAAATGAAGTCATTTGATAATAAAGTTTGTCCAAAGACGAGACACTATAAACAATACTTAAATGAATGAAGGATTTACAAAATAAATGCTAAAATTCTGGCAAATAAAAATAATATTGATCACTATTACTGATTGTCTTGTTATTCACTAATTATCACCCCCTTTAACAAAACAAAATATTGAATGAACACATTGGCAAAGTGAGCATTAAACATTAAAGCTTGGGGACAAAAGCTTTTTTGTGTGTTTCATTTTACATTCTGTGAACAAATCCGACCACTACATGCTGGTTTTCCCTTTTTATCGCTTACATACTGAGAGCTGATTGGCTGTGTGAGGGCTACTCTCGTTTACACTGAAAAAGATGTTATGTGGCGCCACCTGCAGGTGAAAGCCAGATCCTGTCAGACCTCAACAGGGCAGGGTCTGTTCAGTAACTCTTTTGATGAGCACAAGGCAGGGCAGAATAGTGTCACAGATGGATATAAATTGCAGATGGATCTAAGCCTTAGTTTTACCAGGTGGATATACGAAGCAGAGGATGGTGAGAAATGTTCTGTCCATTTCGACTCCAGTGCATGGCGGTATCACAGTGGTGATCTTTTGGGTGCCAGAAAAGCAGCGCTGTGCAGTTCATTTTAACTTTCCCTCCAAAATTCCTGTGCAGTGTCATCTGTCCTCCATCTGGGACAAACTCTGGCTCCTTGGAGCAGTTTCTTTCTATGTGAGAAGAACATACCAGAATAATCTGATTAATACAAAGGGGCCTTTATGCTCTTCCAGGCTGGTTGCAGACAGACTTCACAAATGAAATGCCTTCTCACAGGTGGAGACTAAATCCACTCAATATAGCTTTGCATAAAAAAGACAAGAAAATAACTTTTGAGAGGACAGTTTGACATATTTTCAATGGAAAATTACAGTATTCTCTAAAGGCACCTTTATAAGATCACAATAATAACCAATAACCAAACATTTCTAGTTGGTACTAGGACAAGCTTAATTGGAAATGATGGAACAGTCTCAGCGCAGGCACAGCAAAAGAATAAGTTTAGCTTCCAGAATGATTTTTAACACAGGCTAACGTCTAGGGTAACTGCTATATACTTACCCTTCACAGTCAGCCTAAGCGTGAAAGACACAGAGTTGTTGTCGGCCTTCACACAAGAGTAATTGCCCTGGTCTTCTACGTTCAGTGTGAGAAACTCTGTGTTCGGAGAGTCCAGCTGCACACAGTCTTTGAACCATGTCGGCCGCACAGATGTATTCAGAGGACACTCCAGTCGGAAAGGAGGAAACTGGTCTCCAGAAAACCGTACCTGCTCCGTCACATGTGCAGGGTCCACACAGCTCTGGGCTGAAAACAACAAACGAAACTGAGTGACATGAAGCATTTTTGAGGCAGGAGTTAAAACACATTTTAATGTTGTTTAGTGTGTTGGAAGATATTCATTTGATTACATGTATGTAATCACACACACACACACACACACATATATATATATTTATCATATAATGTAAAAAAAAAAGATTGTAAATATATATATAATAATAATAATATGTTTTTAGAGATATATTCCACAACATCTTTAGGAAATCCGATAGAAATTTACAGAATTCATCGTTTGTTGGGCTGTAAAAAAAAAAAAAAATCAGCTATTCTAGAATCTGGAGCCCTGGATTTTTCGTAGTAGTAGTAGTATCAGTAGTAGTAGCTAGTAGTAGTAGTAGTAGTAGTAATAGGTAATAACCTCGTAGAAGAGACTGTATCCTATGTATGTAGCAGACTTGTTCTTCAAGTTTTTCATGCTCATGACCAACCAACAACCGGCCAAACCAGCTGCATTTGGGGAAGATACTGATATTATTTTGACTTTGCCCCTGTGCCGTGTTCCCCTGTGCCCTGTGGCCATGCCCACATGTTTCCCCTATAAACATTAAGTGCACGCGGGGCTAAAGTCTGCCACGAGTTACTAGGCAACAGCATGTGACTGCGCGAGACTGTGGCTGTGCACGCACGAGCCGCATGAGACCTATATATTTACTTGATATATAAACGGGTCAAGTTGTGGCGACGTTCTCCTGATGCCTTTCATTGTATCGAGGAGATTACGTAAGTGTGTGACTAATTGTATCGAGAAATAAACGTATGGCCTTAAAACAAATGAGGAATAATTACAACAACAAAAATAAGTGATTTCCTTACCGAGAGCCTGTGAGGAGGTTCCTGATAAGCCGACGCACAGCAGGAGGAAGGCGGCTGACAAAGCCATCACAATCACTGCTCCTCAGAAGTGAAAGTTCGAGGAAAGGAAAGCTAATTCCTTTCCTAATGTCAGAAGGTTTTGAAGGTCTAAACGCTATACTGAGCGTAAATAGACGACTAATCCAAGGACGCGGTTCCCAGTTTCATAAACTTACCTGAAAAGCACCGAAACTTCCCTTCCTATTGGCTCTGAGTGAGCACGTGACGCACACGTCAGTTTTCACCTGTTATAGACAAGCGCAGGATAAAATGCTCTAGCTGTAACTAGTTATAACTAGTAAAGTAAATACAAATACTCAATAATTAAATATTTCATAGAAAACAGCTTCATGATAATTTCTCATAGTCTGTGCATTTACAATGCATTTAATCTAATCTGTATTTAATCTAATCATCTTAAAAATCATCTAAAAAGAGAAACTGGATCTCAATTGACGGAAATGTAAATGTTGAATCAATATATTAATTAAATAATAAGAACATAACATTCTTAGATCTGTTTACTTTACATGTGCGGAAAATCACAGCGTTTGAACAAAATAAGGCAGCATTATAACAACATAGAGTGCAAGAGCAGTATCAAAATGTAGATCTTCAAAAACACAAGTATTGTAGATTCATTCAGCAGTACAATCGTTGATACAGAGCCATGGATTGCCCTTTCAAACCTGCCACCGTGGCCTTCAGAGCATGAGTGCTTCACACGGTAACTCCATTGGCCTGTGTGTACGACCCACTTTGAGAACTTTACAGCTCAATCATGCATTTTGCATCAAAGTGTGTTCAAGGCAAAACAGGCTTATAAAGCTCTTTATGCTTCAAATGACCTGCAAAATATAGACAAATGCAAATGTAAAAGACATCTTCCCTTTAAACACAACAATCTCTGTTATTTGGGACCTACTTGAGTTCTTCTTTCAGTCGGTTGAGTTTATCAAATAGTTTGTGATTTTTCACATCCATAGGAGCACTTGGAATGAACCAGGCTGCGATGAATTTACAAATGACAAGTACATGCTGCAAAAAAATTAGACAATGAAAGGAATGTTCCATGAGCTCATTCTGTATGTTGGGGGTGGATCTGGCTTTAACATAATAGGAAAAATAATAATACCTCGAATATTATGACAAATGCAAACCGTACAGCTGATATCAACCAGAACTGTGGGGTCAGACTGTAGTCCTCATCACTCCTATAGTCTTTGTAACTACAATAAAAGAGACAAGTGTTTCAGCTACTCTTCAGAAAATGCATGTACATATTTGTTATATTCTAACTTGATGTAGCTTCTCCTCAATGTTATTTGTCAGTAAAAAAGAGCACACCTGCAGTATGAGACATTCATCCCACTCGGAGTCACCATTTGTTCTGCTGAGAAGTCTTTGTTGATGTCCTGGTCATTCACATACGCGATTGAAAGGGTGTTGTTGATGTATCCCTCCATGCAACTGCAAAAATACAATTATTTATAAGTGGAAGCTTAATACAATCATACTTGCAGATCCAAATGTATAACTGTTTACTCAGTATTTGTCACTGTTCCATTGGCACAGGGACCATAGAGGTGGCGGTAGACCAATCGAGGGATGAAGTCTGAAGACACGCCGATAACCAGTCCATTTGCAATAACGGCCAAGACGCCAATAGCCTCTAAGATATGTATCCATACACCTGACAAGAATAATGAAACTGAATCTGTCTTATACAGCGCTTTTTGGACACACAAAGACACTTCAAAAGGCATTATTCATTCATTCACTCACCCATTTTGAACAAATCTAGCTGTAATTTAGACTGTTATATAGCCTGTCGCTCACATGTGGGTCAGGTGAATATAGTTATACAAAGAGTACACACACACACAAGGGACAATACTTTGCATAATGACAGAACAACAAGCGTTACAACAACAGTGGAAAGTTTGGGCTTTTGCACAAGCTACATTTTCCTTTTATTAAGTTGCCCTTGTAAAAAAAAAAAAAAGTATTTACATCGCTCCACAATGATGATAAGCTTGCCATAGTCCATTATAATGCGATTCCCAGCGATGCTTTACAACACACTTCCTTATTTTGAAACAAGGAAGTTTGTTTTGACAATATTATTATTATTTGTTGACACATTCTTGTCTGTGGTGAGAAGCAAAGTGGGTTCAGACAAGGCACCAACAGTTCCCACGAATATCTTGGATTGACATGGCATTTCAAATTTCAAGACAGGTCAAAAGCCCTCACAAGTTACTTTAGATAAATTAGTCAGATAATTCACTTTTGTAAGTGTATTCCTCATATGAACAAAACTACTTGGCTGAACTACTGTAAGAACAAGGATTCTAAAGGTTTCTCTCACCTATATCATTGGTTTTCTTTGGAACAAGTCTTCTCTCCAGAGTAACCATCTTAATAGCATCCAATCGTATTTCTATGACATTATTAAGAAGGGCAAGCAGAGGAG